AGGGACCTGCCAGAAGTGGAAGGGCGGGACCACCCAATGGGTCCTTGTTTTTTGTCAAGTAGAGCAGGTACATGCTGGCGTGGAATAGACATGTCATGTGCAAGAACAGCAGCCAGCCCCACAGCAAAAGCAACCCACATGTCCAACATGGCAGGCAGGCAAGGAAACCGTGGCCTGTAGCTCAGGTGGAACACATTTAAAAGGACAAACGACAGCCACTTGCAGAGCAAAACCTTAGGCAGAAGCAGCTAGAACCAAACCAAGATCCACAGCCCAAGTGCGCTTATAGCAAGCCAGCACAACAATGCCACAGGTGACCGAGGGACACGGGCAGTACCGCCCCACACTGACGTGGGGCGGGTCTTTGAGGACCACTGACGGGAGAGATCCAGCTGGGATCCAGTCCAGCCTGAGGAGTGGGTGTGTGCACCTTCTTATTGCCCGGTGAGCCATGCAAGCTTGATTTTTCACCTTTCTGTGGTACCTCGTAATAGATCACATCGAAAAACACAAGACAAGTGTGTGGTAGGGGGAGCAGGCACAGACCAAGCTGACACTACCGAGTGCAGAGCCAAATGGGGAGGGGCGTCGGAGTGGGAAAACCCCATTCTACTGGATTTTTTTCCCCCCACAAACCAGAACTGAGGATCAAAGACTAGCAGAAACCTGCCTAAAGTTGCACTGCTTATAGGAGGCCAGCCAGCGCCAGAGCTGGGCTCTGCAGTGCTCCAACAGCAAGTCTCTGTGCTTCGTTTCGGAGAGCTCTCCCACTCCAAGCCACAGCAGCACAGCGGGGAGCAGACAGGTTCTCTGACCTTGGCCTCGGTCTGTGTGTCTCTCAGGTGTCTCCTGCCATGACAACACAAGCTCCTTGAAGGCAGAAATGAGTGAAGCTGACACTCCCGTTTGGACCCTGAGGCCTAAAATGTTCTTGGTGGCTTCTATAATGTCCCCAGAGCAGCAAGCAGAAGCTGTGTGCCACCTACACACGATTTCCAGGTCTTGTCCTCATTACTACCCCCTTTTAAAGAGAAGAAAACCGAGGCTTGGTCAGGGGGTAGTGGGGGGTGTGTAGGAATGTATCAGCCAAAGTCACATGCAAAGTGAGGAACTTGAAAGTTGGAAACTGATGCCAGACCCCCACCTAACACCCCGCCCCTGCCTTTTGGTGACACTTAGGACTCCCAAAGCATCTTCCGGTCACGCCAAACCCCCCAGGCTCTGCGAAGAAGCCCCCATCAGAATTAGGTCCTGTAAGATCACAATGGCAGACAGGGTTCAGCAAGGAGAAGGCCTTGACCTGCAGGCTCTCGGGGCTGGGCGGGGACGGACAGCACACTGGGACACCAGCTGCAGCACACAGGCACACAGACTGGCTCAGCGTCCTCCAGGGTCCCTTTTATCCCAGATCCGTGGGCACTTGGATAATCCCCAAGCCCAGGCCTGAGCTGAATAGCGGAATGTTCCTATAATACCCCCAGGCACTTGCTCTTATGAAAACACCCTGGCACACAACATTTGGACCAATCCGTGTTTCGAGCTGAATAGCCCTCCACCAAGTCCTCAGAGAACTTTTTTATTACTTATTTATTCATTTATTTACAAAAATTGCAAAACAACAAATACATCGCTGGCCCAGGGAGTCTTAGAGCTGCTGTGACCTTTCAGGACACAAAACCACAGACACCATCCCCAATGCCTTGGTCTACAGTCCTCCAGGCACACACACTCACTCAGTTCTCCTCACAGCTGGCTTCTTGCCGGGGCTCATCTCCGGGGAATACAACAGAAACCAATAGGAGGCCCTGGCATGAGTGACAGACAGGATAGGGCCTCGGCCAGCCACCATCCTGCCTTCAGGGCTTTAGTATGGAGGAGCAGACCTTGGCAGAGGTGGAACTGTGCGGGTGCACACCGAGTTCACCTCCTGCCGGGGGGGTAGTAAGGTTGCCAGCTCCCACTGCAAGCTCTAAGTCCTAGTAACACCCAGCACACAGGGATCTGGGTGGGTCAGGACAGACTCCATGCCCACTTGAGTCTGAACGCCCCTCTCTGGGCTGGAGGGTCACCAAGGAACTCTGAAAGGACACTCTGCAGCAGCAGCAGATGTGTCACTCCTGCTGGCCTGTGGGGCTGACATCATCGCATTAAAAAGCTCCAAGAAGGATTCTGCAAGTTCATGGCTGGGTTTGTGGTCTTGCAGATGAAACGGGATCATATCTAGGAGAGGACTAGGACTGGTGTCTGAGATTGGCACGGACTGGATGCTTAAACAACTGCTTGTTGCACTTGGGATTGCAACCTCGCTGGGAAACAGACACAAACACAGTTGCTTGAGCAGGTAGTTCAGCTCTCTGCTTTAGCCCACCTAACAGCCCAAGGCAGGGGTCGGTCCAAAGTCAGTGTCCACCCATGCCCGATACACAGCTCTCCGGATGGGAAATGGTGGCAGAAGAGATGTTGGAGACAAAAGTGAGGAACGAGAGTCAGGCCTTGACGGTGGCAAGAGTGGAGTGGACATTCCTGCAAGCAGTGGATAGGGCAGGGCAGGTGCACAGCATCAAATGTGAGGTCTGAGTTCCCAGACCTAACCCTTTCCTCTATTCCCTGCTCCCCAATTACAAAGATCCAGGGCATCTTGCTAAGACTTCTGGTTAACCTTCCCCAGCTGAATGAGTGGGTCTCAGCCCAGCCTGCAACTACCCTGAGATCCAGTTAGGCTCCTCAGGACAAGGGCAGCTGTGTTCTCAGCTACGGTCACTCAGGAGTACCGTGGTCCTCACACAGGTGTGGAGGACCCAAAGCACCCCAGCTCTTGTGGCTTGGCACTCCCTTCCCCACTCTGGACAATGGGAAAAGGGCCCCCCTGAACACCAGCAGGTACAGGCAGCGCAGCACAGGGGCTAGTGGGGCCAGCTGCTGAGAGGGCAATCCTAATCACGAGACCCAAGATGACTTGTCTGCCAACCACGCAGGAGTCAGGGTGCCCCGTCCTGCGCCTCCACTGCGGGAGTTCTGGGGCTGGTGCCCTGTCCTCTGGGCATGTCCCCCAGAAGCAGCCCCCAGGGATGCCTGGGTTGCCAGGCAGCCCTAACTGTGCCCTGTGACCTTGGACATGCCCTGCCTCCCTCTGGCCTTGGTGTCTTCATCTCTGAAACAGGGGTTGCCTCTAAGCTCCTTCTCCCTGCACTGGGGCACGTTGGCCTGGGATGGAATACAGTGACGTGGGAAGTCACCTTTGAACTGGGAGTTGGGGGCACTAAAGACAGGGGAGACACTAAAGATGCACCAGTGGCACCATCAGATAGGGCTCCCAGGCCACGGCAGTCCTCCGCCCAACACCAACACTCAGCCATACCCACCAAACTTCTCCTTGATGGACTGGGCCAGGGGAGGGGCCCACTCACTCACTGTCATCTTTCTGCTCCCTTTGCACCAGGAACAGATGAGCTGTGACAGCTGACAGGTCGGCAATTTAAAGTGGCCACTCACTGTCTGCAGACACAGGGCAGCCAGTTCTCCCTGAGTATCACCGTGTCCAGGGTCCAAGGACAGCGGGATGTGGTCAGGGCAGGGGTTTCCCACACTCTGCGCCACAACTCTCCCCTCCCCCGCCCAGCAGGAAGTGTCCTAACGTTAGCAGGCGGGACGGGGTTAACTACAATCACCCCATATCATCCCATCCCCTCTCTGCAACCTCCTGCCCCCTATGGGACAAGGTCCATGGCTGTACTGGCCCCTCCAACCCAGCCCAGCCCAGTCCAGCCCAGCCCGAGCTTCTCACCCCCTCCCCGGGGTGCGTCTATCTGGCTACCAGCAAATTCCTGAGATGCCTCAACCTCCCCAGCCTCGGCCCCAAGGCTCCCGACCACGAAGCGGAGGGCTTTCTCCGCCTGAAGGAGGCAGAGAAGGGGAGGGGTACGGGGAGGAGAGGGGGAAGGCTTCGCGACCCTCGGGGCTGCGATTCAGGCTCCCTCACCGAGGGAAGCAGCCAACTGCATTGACGCGAGACTGAACACCCTCCCCCCCCCCCCAAGATCGCACCCTCAGCTTCTGGGAGGTTTCCGGATCCGCGGTCCGCAAAGCCGCGGAGCCTGGCTTCTCTGCGCCTCACGCTCCAAACCCCGGACGCGACGCCCGCCAAGCAGGGCTCGGGGGAAACCTGCACCCAAGCACCCCCGCCCTGCCGCACAACCCCGGCCTCCCCCCGCCACCCCTATGCCGCCACCCGTGCCGTCGCTGCGATGGTGGCCTCTGAATCTCCGCCCCAGCCCAGCTCCAGCATAAGCGATCTCCGCATCCCCCGGGTCCGGAGAGCAGCCAGCGCGTCCGCGTAGCCGTGACACCTGGGGGTCCCAGCTGCCGCCTAGACCTCAGCGGAGTGAGGGGTTCCCTCGGCGCACCCCGGGACCCTCACCCCCGCGCCGCAGCGGCCGCCGCGCGCTCCCAGCCCGCGCGCCTCCTACCTCGCAGGTCCGCCCGCAGCCGCCGAGCGCGCGCCGTCCTCGCGGCGGGCGCGGCCCCAGCGCGTCGGGCCGGCCAGGCGCGATGCGGGCGGCGGGGAGGGGGTGGGGGCTGGTTTGCGGGAGAGGGGACCGGGAGAGCTCGGGAGCCCGAGCCCCGGCGCCGCCGGCCAGGCGGCCTTCGCACGTGCGTGCGCCGTGACCTTGGCGAAGGCCTGTCCGTACCCAGCCTCAGTTTCCCCCTTGGAAAGGTGCGTGCGTGTGTGCGTGTTGGGGTGGGGGCGGGGCGGCCGGGTGCCGCCTCAGCCGCCGACGTCACCCGCACGGGGCCGAGTCCAGGGCGCTCAGGTTGGTAGGGCCCTCTGCAGCGGACAGGGAACGGGGTGCGCAGAGCCTGGGCGCTGGTCGGAGCTGGGGCAGCGTGGCCCCCTTCCTTTTCCTAGGGCTCCGCAAGACTGCCAAACAAGAGTAGCCTCGGATCAAGTCCCCTGGCCTCTCCGGAGGAAAAGAGCGGCTGCCGCCGCCAGCAACTACTCCCTCCAACCTCCTCCCCATTTCGCAGATGAGAAGATTGAGGCTCAGTGTTGCACAGCACGATACGCCAGGGCCCGCTGGCGTCCCCCCACCCGGGTCCCGCGCCTTTCCTTCCAGGACCTGGGGGATGGTGTGTGGCCACCGGCAGCGCCCCAAATCCCTGCAACAGACCTTCCCCACAACCCGGAGCGAGCAACAATTCCAAAGCATGGGGTGGGCTCGGCCCGAGTCAGGCGTCCTGAAGGTGGCCTGGATACGGGGGTGGGGTGGGGTTGACCCTAAACACAAAGCGAGGGTACCCCTCCAGGCGTGCGGCGGCAGCGGGATGAGCACCGGCTCCGGTTCGCGAGGGGGCCCCGCGACACGAGCGTCCCTCCGCAGGGGCAGTGGCAGCCAGGGCTGCAGTCCTGCAGGCGGCCTTCGGGGAAGCGCCCTCTGGTGCCCAGAAGCGGCGAGACAGCAGGCCAGAGGAGCCGGGCTTACGCAGCGGCCCCGCCACCACCGGGAAGCCGGGCCAGTGATGTCATGAGTCCGGAGACCAGACACTGTGGCCCTTGCCACCGTGGTGCTGTGTGACCTTGGCGAGGTGCCTCCCTCCCTCCCTCCTCAGCCCGGAGGCTGTCGGAGCGAAGGTGAGAAGGAAGCAGGCTGATTGTCAGCGCTGATAGCTTCTGACCTCGACCACTACCCAGGGCCAAGTGGATCCAGAAAGGAGGCGGCAGAAAGCGAGGGCGCTCTGCGCCAGGATAGCCACCCAGCGGTCAGGCTGGAATCGGAACTCACGCTCCACTCAGCCCTCGGGTGTTCCTATGGTACAGAGACACTGGAGGCGGGGCCCAGCAGGACCCATCCAGTCCCCGGGGGGGGGGGGGGCAGGGGAGAGGGTTTTCTCTCCTGCCTAGCAGCCAGGGTTACACAAGGGTGAATGACCTGAGAGACCACCTGTGGGGGGCAAGGTGTGGGCCCTTGCCCAGTTCTGTTTTAACTACGCTGCAGGAGGCTTTGCTTTTAAGAACGACCAACTAATTATAGAATTGAAGAACAGTTTTTAGAAGCACTTTAGAAAAAACACGTATCACTTTTCACCATCAAAAGGGCTCTTCTGGAAAAGCCAGTCACCTGCAGGGCAGGTGAGGACAGCAAAAGAGTGAAGGCTCCGGGGATTGGACCAATGCAGCAAGTCTTGCCTCCCCCGCTGAGCCACCTGCCAGGAGTGCACCTGCACCCCCCAAAGCCACCTGCCAGGAGTCCACCTGCACCCCCCAAAGCCTGCCCGGAGAATTGGGTGCAAGGGCGGCTACCATCCACCACCCATGTGACTCTTTGAGGAGGCACGAGGGACAATGAAAAACACCATCAACAAAGTAAAACAAATAGTAAAGTGATAATAAAGAGTATCCGTGGCACACAGGCCAGACGTCCAGGGAGGAAAATGAGATGAAAGCTCATTTCCCTAATACCTGGGGCGCTCTTTCCAACCGATGACTAACCAGGAGGAAGCGGCAAAGGGCACGCACACACAGCTGGGGAAATCCACTCAATCTTGCTGGCAGTGAAATGTGTATTAAAGAAATACAAACCGGAACGCAGTTGGTTTGCCTGCCGTTTTGTAATCTACCTGTTGGGTAAAAATGAACACGCTGGGGAATACGTTCCCTGCACACAGTGGGAGAAAGTGAAGGCTCTTAAAGACACCACAGGCTGCGCAGCTAGCCTGGCGGCGTGGTGGGCTTGCGATCCTGGCATTCAGCATCAGACGCTGGTTCAGGTCCTGGCTATTCTGCTCCCAATCCAGCTTCCTGTTGTCGCACCTGGGAAGGCAGTGAATGGTGACCCTAGCTACCCACCACGGGAGCCCCGCTGGAACTCCTGGCCCAGACTTGAGAGGGGTGTCTGGCACGGGTATTAGGATGCTGCCCCACTAGGAGTTTATGTTCCACAAGGAGGGTCTGCGTCCAGTTGGACTCTAGCTTCCTGCCGATGCCCACCCTGCTGGCAGAAGACAATGGCTTAAACACATGGGACCCTGCCACTCACGTGGGAGGGCAGATTACTGCGGCCCAGCCGTGGTTGTGGCGGGCATCGGGGGTGGGGATGGCGTGAACCAGCAGGTGGGAGATCTCTGTGACTGGATCTTCCTCCCTCTATCTCTGCCTTCAAACAGAATGAAAATAAGTATCAACATAAAAAAATTTAGAAAGACAGTAAGACTCAGGAACACGGTGTGGGAGATTAAGAAGGATCCCTGGGTGACCAGCAGCTGGGGAAGGAGGGAGTTTGCTGAGATAAGCACACAGGCTGGGTCTCTATCCTAGAAAGACAGATCTGCAGAGGAAAGGCTGCAATTCGACCCTCTCTGTAGAAACTCACAGAAAGTTCTACACAGATGCATGCTGGGATTTCTCTTCCCCTACTCAGATCCCGGAAGGTATATCAAGTCCACCATCCCCGATGTTTTCCTTCCAGGAGGCCCAAGGCCGATGTGGAAGGGGGCCTAAGAGGAGCTCTTCCTTTTACATTTTTCTGTACTTGTTGATGTTTTTAAAAGTTAACAGGGATCATGTGGGCAGGCTTACAGGCTGCACACACATCCCGTCATTACATGTGTTTGTATTAAAAAAAAGTAACAACAAAAGAAAGGAATGAAGACATGAAGGATGGTGGGTGGGAAGGGTGTGGTGATTCAGACTCCCCGGCCCTTTGGGCCCGGTGGCGTGGCCTAGCGGCTAAAGTCCTCGCCTTGAATGCGCCGGGATCCCATATGGGCCGGGTTAGTTCTCTGCCCTGGCCTGCCTCCAGCTGCCCGCTCAGCAGTGAGGGCTCCCGTGGCTGGCTTCCCACCACTCACACAGGAGACCTAGTTTCAGGATTCCACTCCAGTCCTGGCCAAGGCAGACATTTAGGCAGCAAACCTGTGGAAAGGAAAGCTCACACTCTCTCTCCCTTTCTCTCTCTCTCTTTCCCACCCTCTTAAGTACTGGCAGTGCTCCGCGTACCCACAGCTCAGTGGACCGTTTCCCATTGCTCATACAGTAGAAGTCACACTGGAATACGCCTGGACTGGGGCTACATGGTCCAGTCATCTCTGAAGATGCTGGTAGGTGCAGTGAACTCAGTGCTGTCAGCCCCGCCGCCATGGGTAAGCCCTGAAAGTGGATGAGCAGGTTCGCTCTCACTCCCTCTTAGGACAGATTATGGGAAAGTAACCCCTTTGTAAGAGTATATTACTCTTGAGCCAGGAGCCTCTTTCGCATCTCCCATGTGGGTACAGAGGCCCAGGGAATTGGGCCTTCCTCCACTGCCTTCCCAGGCCATTAGCAGGGACCTGGATTGGAAGTGGAACAGCTGGGACTAGAACTGGCACCCATACGGGATGCTGGTGTTGCAGGTGGCAGCTTAATCTATGATGCCACAGAGCCAGTCCCAGCACTGGTTTTTAAATAATGATTTCTGAACCTGGGCAGGGAGTTGGGAAGCCTGGCTTTCAGGTTGAGCTTGAAAGACTCCAGTATGAGCTCAGCCAGGATCATGCCCCTTTTGGGCCTCCTGGCCCCAACACCAAGAGGGTAGGGAGTGGAAGGCAAGTGTCCAGGTCATTCCAGAACATTCTCCAGGAGGCTAGGGGTTCCTGGTCCTTGGATTCATGGGAGCAGAAGTGATGGCCAGCTGTTGCACATGACTGCTCCTCCACTGCCCAGCCTGGAAACTCCTGACTCATATTCCCTATCCAGGTTATCCGAGCAGCGTTCCTGCCTGTCTAGGCTGGAGGTCAGCCACGTGGAGCAGGGGCAGATGACACAGCTCCCGGCACCCACAAGGGGCTGAGACGTCTGTGGGTACAAAGCCTCATGTTGGAGAACCAAATCACTGGCCCCCTCCAGAGATGGCCCTCGGCCTCGATCTGGCCTCCACCTCCCCCAGCGGCCAGCGGAGCAACAAGCCCAGCATGCAGCTCTCCACCCCACACGTCATCTCTACAGTTCATTCTTGGTCATTACCCAGAACTTTCTGGGGCTCCCTGCTGTCCATTCTAGCTCAAAAGCCACAGTTCTGCACTTTCCCGTCCCAGCTTTCTGATTATGTCTCATCTTCAGGGTAATTTTCAGAAATACAGGTTCTATTATGTCCCTTCCTGGCTCCAGATTGAACTTGTAGGATAAAATACAAGCCCCGTGGCCCAGAATTCAGATTCAGGTTTCGCTTCCCTGCCTGGCTGCATCTTCAGCCTCCTCTCCCAAAGCCAATGTCAACACTTTGCTATCTTGTATCTTTGCATATACCAGGTCCTCGGTGTGTCCTCCATATATAAAGAGATCTTCCAAATCACTAAGAAAAGCCACAAGCCAAAATTAAAATGTCTGATGGATTGAACTAGGCGGTGTGGAAAAAAAGAAATACGTGTGGGCTTTGAACATTTACAAAGACGCACAAGTCATAATGCTATGTCATTCTCCTCCATCAAACAAATAATTCCTAGAATGCTCATGTATTTTGTCCGTTGGCTGAGATCCAAATCCATCTCTTAACTTCAGCTCCAAAAATACATCAACGTCTTCTAGACAGTCTCTCCATGGCTGTCCACAGTGCTCCAAGGCAGGCACAGAGCAGTCACTCTCCATGGCAGCTGTTACTAATAAAAGCCACAGCTGCCACACGGCTCTGCAGTCATCAGCCACCTGAGAGAAGGATGCAGTCTGACTCCTTGTCGCTTCTTGAGCCCCGCCTGAAGTGTTCTCCAGACCCGGGCCTAGCCAACGGAGATGCAGAGACAGGACGTGGGGGAGGGGAGGGCAGGAGCTGGCCCTAGGGGCTGCTCTGCTGGGTAGAGTGGGTGCTTGCAGGGGAAGGGGGAGGAGGGCAAAGGAGGAGAGAGGAAGGAAGAGGAGGGAAGAGATAAGGAGGGGAGGGAAGAGGAAGGGGAATTGTGGGATTACCCTGGGCTTCTACTCATGAGTGCCAACTGTGCCAGGCAGGCTCTAGGCAGGCATGTCTCCCACGCCGTCTCCTTCCCCTGGCACCCCTTCCGCCTTCCAGGTGAGCCACCAGAAGCTTTGATGTGGGCTCTTGTGTTGTGGGCATTTGAAGCCACTTGCCATGGGCGTGTTTCACCCTCCCTATCCTGGGCCTCTACTTTTCCATGGGAGAAATGGCTCTAGTCAGCAAGAACTGATTGACTCCAAGAACACAGTGGGTGAGGCGCAGACCCCACCTTAAACAACCCACCCTGCATGTGGTGTGGATGGCTGCTGCTAAGCAGCAGGAGCCCTTGGTGGTCCCACATCCACAGGCAGGATGGGAGAGGTAGCCACAATGTCAGGGAGCAGGATTCAGATTTTAGGGTGTCATTCAGATGACTGGGAATGTGTTTTTCTGAGAATGAGTTTTTTTTTTTTTTTAGAGATACTCATTTATTTGAAAGAGTTAGAGAGAAAGAAGGAGATATATATAGAGGGACAGGGAGGGTCTTTCACCTGCTAGTTCACTCACCAAATGGTTGCATTGGCTGGGGCTGGGCTAGGAGCTTCTTCCAGGTCTCCCAAGCACTTGAACTATCCCCCACTGCTTTTCCCAGGCTATAAGCAGGGAGTTGGATTGAAAGCAGAATAGCCGGGGCACCCAGAACAATGGCTCAGTGGCTAAATCCTCACCTTGCAAGTGCCAGGATCCCATATGGGCGCCCATTCATGTCCTAGGACATCCCCAAAGCCCTGGGATACTGCACCTGCGTGGGAGACCCAGAAGAAGCTCCAGACTTCAGATCAGCTCAGCTCCAGCCACTGAGGCCATGTAGGGAGTGAACCAGCAGATGGAAGATCTTTCTCTTTGTCTCTCCTTCTCTCCATAAATCGGATCTGCTTTTCCAATTAAAAAAAATCTTCAAAAGAATGGAAGTGGAGCCATAAAAAGCACATTCAAGCAGGCATTGCCCAATTGTTTTGACAAAGGTGCCAAGAGAGTTCATTGGAAAGAAGCTTCTTCAACACACAGCAGGGAGGAAGCTGACTGTCCGCAGGCCCCAGGAGCCCTGGCACCCTTAACTCCTGCCGTGCACAAAAGCCAATTCAGAATGATCCCAAATGCACAAAGAAGGGTGAAAGGTACCCAGCCCTTCAGGGGGATCCTGGCAGTCAAACCCCATGACCTCGAGGCACGTGGGGATTTCTTAGACCCAACACCAAAAGCACAGGCAATCAAACGAAAACAAAAATCGACATATCAGACTTCATTGAGATCAAAAGCTTTTGCACTTCAAAAGACACCCTCAAGAAAGGGATGAGATGAGCCACCCACGGGGAGACAACATCTACACAGTGTACAACTGCTACGAGGGACCTGCAGTTGTTCAACACACACAACTCAACGAGCAGGAGGCAACACAAACCAAGATGGGAAGAAAGCCCCAAGTCGACATTCTGTCCAAGGAGAGGAGAGGGAACAGGCTATAAACTCACGACAAGCTGCAGCGGGGACTTGGTCATCAGTGAGACAAGACACACATCAAAACCAAGAGAGGCCACTCCACACCACCTGCGTCGCTGGAATCAAAGAGAAAGGCTGACAGTAACAGGTTACCAGGTGCTAGAGAAGAGAACATCCTCTCACGCCGCGAACAGGAATGGGGGAAGGGGCAGGCAGCCCTGCCAAACAGCCTGGCTGTGTCCCACAAACGTAAGCACCGAGTTACTACAGGACTCAGCCCATCCACCTCCAGGCCTGGCACGTGCGCACGTGTTGGGATCGCATGATGGCTGAAAGTCAGCGCTGCCTCAGAAACCCGCTGAGAGCACACTTCTAGGGAATGACTAAGCTCACCAAGGCATGGCCATTCGACGGCCCCTCACCAAGGCATGGCCACTTAACGGCAAGGCAGGACGACGGGATTGTGGCTGACAATTGGGTGTTACAGTGCATGTGAAGTACTTCCTCACTGAAGGGTTAGGAAAACATGATGGCTGAGTGGGGTGGCAGCTCTTACGCTGGAATAACTGGTACATTAGATTCCTACATTGTATCCTGTAGTTATGGAAGAGACACCCTCATTCTGAAGAAGTATATGTTGATTATGATTT